CCTTTGCCGGCATCCATTTTGCCACGTCTTGCTGACGTAATAAGTGATACCGGAAAAAGGACGCTTCGCGCGAGAAAATTCGCTAGTGGAAAACTAGACTTGCTCCAAGTCTCTCTTTCATTGTCATATAGTATCGATCCACTATAGTGTACATTACATGACGTAGCACGGAGAGGCGGAGCGAGAAAGAGAGACTTTTCAACTTCGGAAACTTCACTTGCTTTAATTAATGGACCTATTCCCTAATGAACAAAATTTTGATCTAGACAAGTCTAGATAAAAATGAAAGAGCATCACAAAATTAGTAATATTCCGAAGTTTCGTTGCGAAATGTTGTAAAATGCGGATAATATGGCCCGGCGAAGTTTGCCGTTTTTCAGTCATTTTGTATTACGCATGGGAAATTGATACCTTTTTTCAGAAAGTGGTATCAATTTCCCGTGCGTAATACAAAATGACTGAAAAACGGCAAACTGCCAAGATTTGTCTTCGCTTCGCGCGAACAAATTCGCCCAGTGAAAAATGGGCTTTAGGAGTTTAGGACATAATATACTGAAAAAGGAAACATTTCCTTCCGATGTTTCTTAATATATGAAAGTTGTAATGGAGGTCAGTCAGGTCAGAGTGAGTAAGAAATCCTGCATGATATTTATCCATATAATGATATATACTAGAGGTGTGCAAATCCGATCCGAAACCGATCCGAAACCGATCCGAATCCGATCCGACGGATTCTTTTTTTTTAATTAACTTAACAATCGCACGATTGATGGAAAGGACAACAGAACTATTTGTTCCTTATTAAGTCCCACCAAAAAATTTACAAAAATTACACTAAACATATAACAATACATAAAATTACAATCACAATATATCATTAACTATGACTATACATTCCTACATATTTACGAACAACAGTTTGTTTGCAACGAACGACACTTGCTACACAGAGTTTTCCACGTTCTAGGTCTATCTATATCGAAGACAGTGCACGTGTTCAGTTTATTGGTATAATATATATATAGTTTAGTCTTAAGGATAGCAACTGAAGATGACGCTTTTATAACAGAAGGTAAATTATTCCATAAAAACACAATTCTATTAAAATACGAGTCTCTAAAGAGAGATTCGTTCGGATTTCGGATCGGATTGATAGGCTAAACTGTTGTTTCGTAGTCGGATCGGACTTCGATATCCGAAATAAAATGAATTCATTATCCACGGCATTATCGCAAGAATTAATTATCATACATTTATCAAAGCAATAATTCGATAATTCGCGGTTATCTGCATTATTCGTTTGATACTTCAATTGGACGTCACTTTGTCAGCTTCTTGACATGTATTTCTTGCTTTTATATTTATTTGGTTAAATATTTCAACTTGAATGAGAAAATTGGAATTCTTTATCAAAACTCGGATCGGATTCGGATTAGACAATTTCGGATCGGACTTTAAACATTAAGCAATTGTCGGATTATAAATGTCCAATCCGATCCGATGCACACCTCTAATATATACCTTACCATGCATGGCATCACTTTAGCAGATACTGTACATATCAACTTGCGGTTAATTAAGAGCTCGACAACTGGACTCTGTAGTGTAGCTCTAGCCTGCGTAGCAGGCGTTTAGCTGACGTGCGGGAACTGCAGACTCGTCCTCAGTCGCTTTAAGAGCGGGCGCGCGGCCAGAAGTGGGCGCGTAGAGGCTCACGGGAAGGGCGAAAGAAGAAAATTTAGCGACTGGCGCCAGATTGGGCTATTCCATTTAATATCCATACACCCCCTGTCGAAAATACATGTTTTTCATGGTTATACCCCTGAAGAATTCCAAGCTCAAAACCTTTTACCCCTGAAGAATTCCAAAATTCCAAGCTCAAAATCCTTTACCCCTGAAGAATTCCAAGCTCAAAACCTTTTACCCCTGAAGAATTCCAAAATTCCAAGCTCAAAACCCTTTACCCCTAAAGAATTCCAAGCTCAAAACCTTTAACCCCTGAAGAATTCCAAGCTCAAAACC